TTCATTTGTGTCTAATTGTTATGGCTCAGTTCCTACTCCACATCCTTTGGGAAGTGCATGCCTTCCTGTGTTTTTACCAGGACTCTCCAAGGGTTTATATCCCACAGGTGTCCTTACCTCCTTCCCTTTGTTCCTAAAGCACCATGAATGGAGGGTTTTGTGTACAGGACACTTTACTGATGTCTGGGCATGCTGTAGGGAAGCCAAGCACTCACAGAACAGGGAGCACACTGAGTATTTGGCATCATCATTCCGGAATTCTCCTGAGATAGTCCTAGCTGGAATTTCTCACTGGTTGACCTTTCTTCTCCTCAGATTGCTGTCTTTCATGTACCAGCCCTCTTCTGGTTTCTCTGGAGTTACCACAGGATATTCTAAAATTCCCATCTACTTCATTTCCCCCAAACTCAGCTCTCTAATGCTTCCCATCATGGCCATGCCCAAAGTGCCTCCCCTTTTTAAAGCAAAAAGGCCCATCCAGTTTGTTTCTGATCACAAAAGAGCTGCAGGGCCTCTAAAAGGAATGTGAAATTGTATTTCACTTTTAATTAGCCTTTCCCCCCCACTGCATATAGCTGGGGGGGATAAGAAAAGACTCCCAAGAAGTAGGGACTTGGGGGCACAAAGAATCACAAAGGAAGTTCCAACAGGCTAAGTGGGGTGGGTCTGTGCCTGGGGGAACAATGGGAACAAGGCCTTGTGCGTAGAAAGGGGATTGGGTATGGGGACTAGTGAATGGAGCATCCTGAGGGAGAGATTCCAGCAATGGGGGTCCTGTGCTGCAGCACTGTGTGATGAGCCTTCCTCATCTTGTGGAGCTGCAGAAGGATTTTAAGCAGGAAGAATATAAACAAATAAAAGCAAATTTGAACCTCAGAAAAAGCACTAAGGAGATACCGTTTGTCAACTATGAGAATGGCAAACCTAAAACAACATTGACTGGCCAGGTGCAGTGGCTCACACCTGTAATCCCAGCAATTTGGGAGGCTAAGGCAGGCAGATCACCTGAGGTCGGGAGTTCAAGACCAGCCTGGCCAACGTGGTGAAACCACTCTCTACTAAAAACACAAAAATTAGCTGGGTGTGGTGGTGGACACCTGTAATCCCAGCTACTAGGGAGGCTAAGGCAGGAGAATCACTTGAACCAGGGAGGCAGAAGTTGTAGTGAGCTGAGACCGTGCCACTGCACTCCATTCTGGGCGACAAAGTAAGACTGTCTCAAAAAAAAAAAAAATTGACAAAGATGTGGGGGAAATACAGCACCCTAACACACTGCTAAATTACAAACGGAACCACCATTTTAGACCGACGACTAGCAATGTTGAGAAAGAGATGAGGCGATAGAGAATCCTAGTGCCTAAAGCTACCTGTCCCAGATTTTCTGACTGGATAAAAATGGCAGGTGTTGGGAAATCCAAAAACATGGGGAGATAAAGGGCAAGGGCACAGGCACAGGCTCAAAAGAGTGAAGAGCTAGTTATCTTCCCCCCTCACTGCTCAGTGACATCATGTTAGCAGCTTCAAACAGGCCATGACGGAAATATTTACACCACAAAAAGCAGCAAATGCTACCAGACAGAACACCCCACCCCACCCCGGCCAGTCTGTCAGCACACTACAGCCCCGAGCCAATCCTCATCCAGCAACCCCTTGAGTTCTCTGAACAATGGCTACCCAGAGATCAAGTACCAGTTTTATAAGCCAGGTCCTTGGCCTTATATCCCAACAGGAAAGCCTAGGCCTGCTGAACACGGCTGGACTTTAAAGAGCCTGCAGGACTCCTTCACCACAGCAGGCAGACCTACGTGGCCTCCTTTCTCCTAGGCCCAATCCCAGTTCCAGCTTGATTTTCTAAAGAAATCAAGGCCTGGAGAAGGCAGCTTTTTCCAGCTGTGTGGAACCAAAGGAAAATGGGAAAATGACAGGACAGAGAGCAGACCTCCTCCCATGCAGAAGAGGAAAGCCCCTGTCTCAACTCTCTTGACAGTTATACACAAGCGCCTTGCAGGCCCTGCACCTTTGACCACTATTATACTGCCTCCTTGTAGAAGACACAGGACTTGGTAAGAACTTAGATGTAGGTGTAGAGGGAGAATGAAGGTTTGAGGATAACCCTCAGGTTCCAGGCTTAGGAGCCTAGGTAGCCCATGAGAGATGCAGAACAGAGCTTGAAGAGAGGACCTAAGGGCATATGGGAGTTAGTTATATTTGGGGCTCGGTGAGTTTGAAGTGCCTATGGGACAACAAATAGAGATGTCCAACTGAGAATCTGAAGTTCGAGAGACTGATGAGATCTCACAAGTTACCAGAGTGCAGATAGAGTTGAAGCCATGCGATCACTCTGGTAATAGAAAAGGCTGAGCAGGGACACCTGGAGGCAGCAAGATTTAAGAGAAAGAGCAAGCACAGAAGGAAACTGAGTGAGGATGTGATAGGAGGTAAGAGGAAACCAGGAGAATGTGAAACTGGAAGGATGAAGGTTATCAAGTGTTGAATACGAAGAAAACTAAGATGAGAGACACAATGAGATGACTGTGGCTGGCTGAGAGGGAAGAAAGAAAGGAGATAAGATTCAAGTAGGCAGGAGCCAGGGCCAGGCAGGGCCAGGCACACCATCGGAAGGCATTTGAGTGGTATTCTAAGTGGGGAATCTTTGGAGGATTTTAAGAGGGGAGTGAAGAAATCTGATGTGCATTTTAAACATATCTCTGTTGTGTGGAGGACAGCCTGGTGGGGTTGGGAATGAAGGCGGGGACACCAGTTAGGAAGCTATTACAGTAACCCAGACTTGGACTAGGATGGTAAGGGTGGAGGTGGTTAAACGTGTTCAGATTCATTTTGAAGGAAGGTCTGACAGGACTTGCTAATTAACTGGATGTAGAATGCAGAGTAAGAGAAGACAGGAATCAAGGAGTATGGAGGGTGTTGGTTCAAGCAACTGAGTAAGTGGTGATGCTATTTACAGAGGTAGGCAAGGCTAGAGGAAAAAAAAAATAAACAGGGTTGGGGCGGGAACAAGAACCAGAGTTTTATTTTGGCCACTTTAAGTATAAAATACTTGCCAGGCACGGTGGTTCACGCCTGGAATCCCAGCACCTTGGAAGTCCAAGGCGGGCAGATCATCTGAGGTCAGGAGTTCGAGACCAGCCTAGCCTAACATGGTGAAACCCTGTCTCTACTAAAAATACAAAAATTAGACAACCATGATGGTGTGCACCTGTAACCCCAGCTACTTGGGAGGCTAAGGCAGGAGAATCACTTGAACCCGGGAGGCGGAGGTTGTAGTGAGCCGAGATCACGCCATTGCACTCCAGCCTAGGCAACAAGAGTGAAACTCCGTCTCAAAAAAAAAAAAAAAAAAAAGAAGTATAAGATGATTTTAGATATGCAAGTGAAGAAGTCAAGTAGGCAGCTGGCTATCCAAATTTGGAGCCCAGGGAAGAAGTCCTAGCTAGAGATATTCTTTTTTGAAGTCATCAGCATATACATAGCATCAAAGCCATGGGACTGCATGAACACTAAAGTTGTGTTTCCCCTCTCACTTATCTCACAGAAGTTTGGGTAGCCCTTGACTGGGGACTGGGAAAGGTATCCAAAGTCATTACCATCAGTCCTTGTAACGTGAGAGCCAGGTACAGCTAAAGACAAACTGACTCAGGGATTGCTTGCAGAGAAATGGTGCCAGAGAAACTAAGACTTCACAGGAGGGTGGAAGGAGTTCCATCTATCTCCTCTAGCACCTCCCACAATTCTGTTAGCAAAATTAATTCAGAAGGAGAAAGAGAGGAAGGTGATATTGAGGATACTTAGTCTGTAGAGTCCAGCAATGGGAGCCCCAGCTGCAGCCTGAGGGGCCAAAAATGGGAATTAATGTGGCTCTGCACCCTCCCCCTAACTCACCTCCTGTTCCCATCCCCACCCACACAAGAGGCAAAGCTCCTTGAACTGGCATAAAATCCACACACAGAGCAGTCCCAAGAGGAGGCTTGAAGTTCAGTGACAGGAGATGGCCACAGCCTGAATGAAGAGCTGAGACCAGCCATCCACTGATTTTTTTTTTGAGACAGTCTTGCTCTGTCACCCAGGCTGGAGTACAGTGATACGATCTTGGCTAACTGCAACCTCTACCTCCTGGGTTTAAGAGATTCTCCTGCCTCAGCCTCCCAAGTAGCTGGGACTACAGGCAAGCGCCACCACATCTGGCTAATTTTTTTGTATTTTTAGTACCGATAGGGTTTCACCATACTGGCCAGGCTGGTCTCAAACTCCTGACCTCAGATGATCCACCCACCTCAGCCTCCCAAAGTGCTTGGATTACAGGCATGAGCCACCATGCCCAACCCTATCCACTGATTCTGAGCAAACAGGATAAAAGTACTGAAGACCACTGCGTCTCCAACTTCAAGGTACATTCAAACCATCTGGGGATTTTGGTAAAATGCAAGTTCCATTTTAACAGGCTTGGGGTGGGGCCTAAGATTCTGCATTTCTAACGAGTGTCCAGGTAGTGCTGTTGCTCCTGGTCTACAGACCACACTTTGGGTAGCAAGGGATTAGAGGCAGCCGTGGAGGCCACTCATAATGGAGAGGGCATGTCCAGTTCCAGGGAAAATGTATTTATTTATGCACAAAGTCACAGAACTATTAAAGTGGAAATAGCCACCATTTGGCATGGCTGTGAGACAGTCATTTCTCAGCAGATAACGCCTCCGAAGAGCACAGGATGGCTGGTACACACGTGGGTTCTGAAGACTTACCGCCTGAGCTTCATGTCTTAGTACGTATGTAATCTTGGGCAAATCTTTTTTTTTTTTTTTTTTAAGACAGGGTTTCACCATGTTGGTCAGGCTAGTCTTGAACTCCCGACCTCAGGTGATCCGCCCACCTTGGCCTCCAAAGTGCTTGGATTACAGGCGTAAGCCACCATGCCCAGCCTGTCTTGGGCAAATCTTTAACTTCTCTTCATCTCCGTTTCCTCATCTCTATAATGGAAATAACAAGACTATTGTGAGGACTGTCAATGGATATAGAGTGCTTAACACATGGCAGCATAGTAAGTGCTCAGGAAAGGTTGCTATCCTGATGCTATCATACCATTCTATAATCGTTAACATAGATACAGAGGATGACTCACCTTTTGGTACATAGCAAATATACAACCCCCATCTCGCTCCCACCAAAAAGCCTAGGTCCTCTCTTTCAATTTTCTCCTTCCCTCCTTCCCTCCTGCCCACTCCCCCTCCTCGGCCCCTGGCCCCAGTGTGGTCTGGATGGGCCCCAGAGGGGCAGGGACAGAGACAGGACGTGGGGCTGTATCTGACAGGAACCCGAGGGGCTGGCCTGGGAGGGGATTGGGGCCCGGCTTCCTGAAGGGAGGATGGGCTAAGGCGGGCACACAGTAGTGGAGAAGATGCCCTCCTGGGCCCTCTTCATGGTCTCCTCCTGCCTCTTCCTGGCCCCTCAAAACCTGGCACAAGTCAGCAGCCAAGGTGAGGTGCATAGAGGGTGGAGATCACCTATGCCCAGGAGGAGGGAGCCCTGGGAGGTAATGCAGGGCTCTGGGAGGGGAAGATAGAATAAGAGCTCTCCTGCTGGTCCCCTACCCTTCCACATAAACATGCTGGGAGGACCCAGGGCCAACTCACCAGCTGTTCATCAGATGTCTCCTTGCTGGCCTCGGACTCAGAGCCCCTGAAGTGTTTCTCCCGAACATTTGAGGACCTCACTTGCTTCTGGGATGAGGAAGAGGCAGCGCCCAGTGGAACATACCAGCTGCTGTACGCCTACCAGGGGTAGGTGCTGGGCTGTGCCCCACATTCCATATATCTTTCCCTGTACTTAGCTGAGTCCCACTCCAGCAGCTTCCCTGCCTATCAGAGGACCATTCTGAATGTAAGCCCTAAGTAGCCACTTTTCGAACAGTTGTAGTTTGGATGCATGTGGGCCCCAGCTCCAGCCCCTACATAACCCCTAATCCCACCTGTCCCAGGCAGTGAGAAGAAAAATTACAGTACTAGAGACAGAAGTTGGGCATGGGCCCAGGTCTGGTTCCTCAGGGCTCTGCATGGTGGCTGTGTAGGAGGGACCTCTGCTATGCCAACAGGGAGAAGCCCCGTGCCTGCCCCCTGAGTTCCCAGAGCGTGCCCCGCTTTGGAACCCGATATGTGTGCCAGTTTCCAGACCAGGAGGAAGTACGCCTCTTCTTTCAGCTGCACCTCTGGGTGAAGAATGTGTTCCTGAACCAGACTCAGACCCAGCGAGTGCTCTTTGTGGACACTGTAGGTAAGAGCCAACCTCCCACCATTCTGCCCCCTCCACTTGCTGCTCCCAGTCCAGCTCCTGGAATCAGACTTGTCTCTGCCCTTTTAGCTCAGCACAGATAACCCCATTACCAGACCCCCAGTGGCACCCCAAGACTCCCTGGTCATTCCTCCCAGCTTTGGCATCTATAGCTAGACCTGCCCCACAGATCATTTCACACCCATTCAAGAGTTACAAAATACCTACTATGTGCCAGACACTGGGCTAGGTGATGAGAATATGGAGAGAAAAAGGGATCCCTGCTTCAAGAAGCACTGAGTCTAGCAAGCCTTCATACTGCAAGGAAGTCACTGTCCTCATGAAGGAAGAACAGAATCAGGAGCCTCCCTAGCCTGCCCTCTGGAAGAAAGACAGTCTACAATTTTTGAATCCAGAAGCTGCCCCATTTCAGCCCCCAGCACCTTCTCTGCAGTCTAGAGGCTAAGCCATAGACTGTGGCACTCAGAGAGTTCTGATGTGCCCTGTCTTGCCCTCAGGCCTGCCGGCTCCCCCCAGTGTCATCAAGGCCATGGGCGGGAGCCAGCCAGGGGAACTCCAGATCAGCTGGGAGACCCCAGCTCCAGGTTTCAGTGATTTCCTGAAGTACGAACTCCGCTATGGCCCCAAAGATCCCAAGAACTCCACTGGTCCCACGGTCATACAGCTGATCGACACAGAAACCTGCTGCCCTACTCTGCAGGGGCTACGCTCAGCCCTTGTTGTGGACCAGCCTCCATGTTCTCAACCCACAATGCCCTGGCAAGATGGACCAAAGCAGACCTCCCCAACTAGAGAAGTATGCTGACCTCCTTCTGCCCCACCTCTTATCTCTCACCTCCAATCTTGCCCCAGGAAAGGACAGCCCATACTTTGGGGGTTTCAGACCTGGGATGGTCCTTGGAGAGTTAGTATAGGCTCAGTTATGAGCCATGTCTATTTAGGGGCTTCCTACTTTGGGTCATTTCCACTGGCAAAAGTGAAGGCTTTCAGGCCTCGAAATTAATGGAGATTTCCCAACAAAACCCTGAACACCACCTGAAACCCACCAACCTGGCCCCCAGTCTGTGTGTGTACCTATCCAGCAAGGAGCTGAGCTCTTCTCCACAGCAATGCTGTGCAAATGTAAGGGATGGAAGCTGTCTCAGCTGACAGGCAGGCCTAGATTGTGAAGCTGGGATTTTCCTCCCAAGGCTTCAGCTCTGACTGCAGTGGGTGGAAGCTGCCTCATCTCAGGACTCCAGCCTGGCAACTCCTACTGGCTGCAGCTGCGCAGCCAACCTGATGGGATCTCCCTCCGTGGTTCCTGGGGATCCTGGTCCCTCCCTGTGACTGTGGACCTGCCTGGGGATGCAGGTAAGTCGACAAAGGAACGGGGAGGTGGGGAGGGGATTTAAAAAGATCTCTGAGGAAGCTTGGGCTGGATCTGAAGCTCTGGGAACCATGGTCCTTTCTGATGACCTCGAGCTTGCCATTGGACAGGATGAACTGTGTTCAAGGAGAGAAGAGAGAATAGGAGTCAATGTTCTAAGTTATGTGTGTAGAAATTATCTAAACACCCTATACAGTAGGGGCACATGGGTCCTAATGGGACTTACTTCTTTGACCTTAGTGGCAATTGGACTGCAATGCTTTACCTTGGACCTGAAGAATGTTACCTGTCAATGGCAGCAACAGGACCATGCTAGCTCCCAAGGCTTCTTCTACCACAGCAGGGCACGGTGCTGCCCCAGAGACAGGTGAGAGCTGAACTGCTGATTGAGGTTGGTGTCACGGGAGTGAGCTACAGTCTTGCAGAAAAAAGGAACAGATTGTCCTTGGTCCTCTTCACTCTCCTCCCTTGTCCCAAAACCATACAGCTTCCAATGCTCTCTTAACTATTCTCTTATCCTCCAGTCAGTATTTTATCTTCTCAACCCCTCTCTATTCCCACTGGGAATGCTTTGGTTTAGTTCAGCCTTAATCATGTCACTGGGACCACTGCAACAGCCTACAGTCTAATTCACCTCCAATGTATTCCCGATGCTGCTAACAGAGTGATCTTTGTTAAGCTCAAACTGTGCATGACTTTTGTAAAGCTCTAACTTTGCATGGTTTCCCCTACTCAAATATGTACTGCAATTTTGCATTATCAAAGCCATAAAAAAATTTAGCCTGGTCTTCAAAGACTTCCACCAAGCACCTAACGAATCCTTCATCCTCTCCATAGCTAATCTATAACCAAGTTGTATTGATTTTACCTATTAACTATCTCTAAAATCTGCCCACTGGTCTATCACTGCCACTATCCTACTATAACCATCATCACTTTTCTCTTGAGCTACTGGAAAGACATAGTAACTGATCACCCTAAGTCTTCCTTCTTCACATAGGTACTGAAGGGGTCTTTTTGTTTTGTTTTGTTTTGAGATAGAGTCTTGCTCTGTTGCCCAGGCTGGAGTGCAATGGCGCAATCTCAGTTCACTGCAACCTCTGCCTCCCAGGATCAAGTGATTCTCCTGCCTCAGCCTCCTGAGTAGCTGGGATTACAGGCATGTGCCACCACACCCTACTACTTTTTTTAAGTATTTTGTAGAGACAGGTTTTCACCATGTTGCTCAGGTTGGTCTTGAATTCCTGGCCTCAGGTGATCCAACACCTCTGCCTCCCAAAGTGCTGGGATTACAGGTGTGAGCCACTGTGCCCTGCCTGAAGGCATCTTTTAAAAATGCAAAAATGAACATAACATTCCCTGCTTAAAAATCTTCAATAGCTTCCCACTACTCTTAGGATAAAGAAAAAACCTCCCATCTCAGACCCCCATGCCCAACCTAATATTGATTGATTGATTGATTGATTGAGGTGGAGTCTCACTCTGTTGCCCAGGCTAGAGTGCAGTGGTGCAATCTTGGATCACTGCAACCTCCACCTCCTGGGTTCAAGTGATTCTCCTGCCTCAGCCTCCAAGTAGCTGGGATTACGAATGTGTACCACCACACCCAGCTAATCTTTGTATTTTTAATAGAGATGGGGTTTCATCATGTTAGCCAGGCTGGCCTCAAACTCCTGACCTCAAGTGATCTACCCACCTCAGCCTTTGAAAGTGCTGGGATTAGGCCGGGCGCGGTGGCTCAAGCCTGTACTCCCAGCACTGTGGGAGGCCGAGGCAGGTGGATCACGAGGTCAAGAGATCGAGACCATCCTGGTCAACATGGTGAAACCCCGTCTCTACTAAAAATACAAAAAATTAGCTGGGCATGGTGGCGCGTGCCTGTAATCCCAGCGACTCAGGAGGCTGAGGCAGGAGAATTGCCTGAACCCAGGAGGCGGAGGTTGCGGTGAGCCGAGATCGCGCCATTGCACTCCAGCCTGGGTAACAAGAGTGAAACTCCGTCTCAAAAAAAAGAAAGTGCTGGGATTACAGGTGTGAGCCACCACACCCAGCCTAACATTTAATTTTTAAATATAAATTGGATCATATTATACATATGGTTTGTTGACTCACCTTTTTGTTTAATAGTATGTCTCAGAGATCATTACAAAACTATATAATTCATTCTTTTTAATAACTGCAAAGATATCCATAGGATACAGATGCCTGAGTGGACTAAAGGGTAGCAAAACTGCAGTCATCATTTCCTCTATCAAAACTTGCTCTTCCTGCCAGGTGGGTGGCCAGAGTGGCTGGATCACCTGAGGTCAGCAATTGGAGACCAACCTGGCCAACATGGTGAAACCCCGTCTCTACTAAAAATAGAGGGCCTTACCACCAGGCCCTTTATGTGAAAAAAGACCAAAAAAAAAAAAAAAAAAATTAGCTGGGTGTGGTAGCGCATGCCTGTTGTCCCAGCTACTCGGGAGGCTGAGGCAGGAGAATTGCTTGAATCCTGGAAGGGGAGTTTGCAGTGAGCCGAGATCACACCACTGCACTCCAGCCTGCGCAACAGACCGAGACTCCTTCTGAAAAAAAAAATTGCTTTTTCTTTATTGCCCCTCATCCTACCAGCTCAGTTTTCCTGGCCTGAAAAGTAGAAATCATCCTGGACTTCTCCCATTCCTATACCCTCCAGGCCTAACCAGAAATAGTCTTGTCATTTTTACCTTTTCAAAAACTCTTCAATCATCTCTTTCCCTCTATCCCACTGCCACTACCCTATTTTCACATCCTCAGCACTCTGCACATGAAAAACTACAAGAATGTCACAATGTATTTCTCAGCTTCTACTTGGCCCTCACGAATCCTTTCTACAGACTGTAGTTAGAATGATCTTCCTAAAGTACAAAACTAATTATGGGACTTCCCTGCCTAAAATCCTTAAATGTCTACATAATTACTACAAGATTAAGTTCATGTTCCCCAGAAAGGCCATAAGGCCATCCATGACATGGCCTGTAGTCTCACATTTACCACTTACCACCACGCCCTTTATGTGAAAATCATCTGCACCACTTAGAATTTCCCCCTAAGTACCACACTCTCTTATCTATGCACAACCATGTGCCTAAGATGCCTGTTTGTCCCTTTTGCCTATCCTATTTTTAGTCCAAAACCCAGTCTAAACATCAGCTTAACCAGGAAGCACTCCCTGGCCCTCCCAGTCTGGGTTGGATGCTCCCCCTTGATGCTCCCAAGCCAGTCTATGTACATCACAGAAAAACACCATGTTTGTTTTTCCATATTTCCCACCGAAATTAGATCTCTTTGAAGCTTATTCCTCTATGCACTCATAGGGCCTGGCACAGTACCAACTGGCACATAGTATCAATTATTTGTTGATTAAATGGGTAAACAAACCTATTTTAGTGATAGTGAGCCACTTAGGGGTTATAATCAAGAGGGAGACATGATTCATTTGTTCAATAAACAATTATTGAGGGTGACTTTGTGCAAGGCACTGGTGACAGACAGTGCAACGAATAAAATGGAAAAGGGGCCAGGCACGGTGGTTCACACCTGTAATCCCAGGACGTTGGGAGACTGAAGCAGGCAGATCACTTGAGGTCAGGAGTTCGAGACCAGCCTGGCCAACATGGCAAAACCCCATCTCTACTAAAAACACAGAAATTAGCCAGGTGTGATGGCAGATGCCTGTAATCCCAGCTACTCAGGAAGCTGAAGCAGGAGAATTGCTTGGACCCGAAAGGCAGAGGCTGCAGTGAGCTGAGATCGCATCACTGTACTCCAGCCTGGGCAACAAAGCAAGGCTGTCTCAAAGAAATTTTAAAAATAAATAAAATGGGCTGGGCGCAGTGGCTCACGCCTGTAATCCCAGCACATTGGGAGGCTGAGGCAGGCAGATCACTAGGTCAGGAGATCGAGACCATCCTGGCCAACATGGTGAAACCCCGTCTCTACTAAAACACAAAAAATTAAATGGGCATGGCAGCACACACCTGTAGTCCCAGCCACTCAGGAGGCTATGGCAGAATAATTGCTTGAACCCAGGAGGTGGAGGTTGCAGTGAGCCGAGATCTTGCCACTGTACGCCAGCCTGGGTGACAGAGCAAGACTCAGTCTCAAAAAAATAAAAATAAAAATAAATAAAAACAAATAATAAAATGGAAAAGGTTTCAGCATTGTTGGGGCTAACATTAGTAGAGGGGAGGGGAAAAGGAGGGAGAGACAAGCAAGTAAAGAAATAAAGCAACACAATTATAATAGAGACTAAAGGGGGGCGTGTGGTAGGCGGGGGAGGGGGTGTTGCTAATTTAAACTATGTGGCCAGGAAAAGCCTCACCAGGGAGGTGACAGATAAGCCGAGATCTAAATGGCAAGAAGGAATGAGTCACATGAAGACCTACAGTTAGAGCAATCCAAGGCAAAGGCAAAGTGCAAAGATAGGCATTTGGCATATCCATGGCACAGAAAAAAGGCCTGTGCGGATGAAGGGTGATAAACTGGCATGAGAATCATAAGAGATGAAAATGGCAAGGCAAGGCGAGACCAAATCACAGGGTCCTGTAGGCCTGGAGTTTGGGTTTTATTCCAAGTGGGATGAAGAGCCACTGAAGGATTTTAAGCAAAAAAAAAAAAATGACATAATTTGATTTGTATTTTTAAAAGATATGTTTCTCTGTGAATAAATAAGAGTAGAAGCAGGCCGGGCGTGGTGGCTCATGCTTTTGATCCTAATACTTTGGGAGGCTGAGGTGGGTGGATTACTTGAGGTCAAAAGTTTGAGACCAGCCTGGCCAACATGGTGACACCCTGTCTCTGCTAAAAATACAAAAAATTAGCCAGGTGTGCTGGTGGGTGCCTGTAATCCCAGCTTCTCAAGAGGCTGCGGCACGAGAATTGCTTGAACCCGGGAGACAGAGGTTGTAATAAGCCAAGATCGCACTACTGCACTCCATCCTGGACAACAGAGCAAGCCTCTATGTCAAAAAAAAAAAAAAAAAAAAAAGTAAAAGCAGATTCACCAGTTAGAAATTTGCCTTAATCCAAGCAAGGTATAACAGTGGTTTCGTCTAACATAGCAGTGGTAAAGATCAAAATAAATAGATTTGTGATATATTCTGGACATTATCACATCAACATTTTTGGAAGCAAATTCTGGTAGCTGTGTGCAGCACAAGTTGAAGGTAGTGGCAAAAACAGAAGCAGAAAAGCCAGTTAGGAGGCTATTATAATAATCTAACAGCAAAATAACACATAGGGGTAAAAGGAATGCTGTATGAGAACAAGCTAAAAATATAAGATATTTTTCTCCAGAAAGATGAGGGGTTTTTTTTTGTTGTTGAGATGGAGTTTTACTCTTTCACCCAGGCAGAGGCGCAATCTTAGCTCATTGCAACCTCCGTCTTCTTGTTTCACGAGATTTTCCTGTCTCAGCCTCCCAAGTAGCTGGGATTACAGGTTCCTGCCATCACACCCGGCTAATTTTTGCATTTTTAGTAGAGACAGGGTTTCACCATGTTAGCCAGGCTGGTCTCGAACTCCTGACCTCATGATCTGTCCGCGTCGGCCTCCCAAAGTGTTGGGATTAAAGGCCTGAGCCATCGCACCTGGCCAAAGGTGCTTTAATCTTTGAACTATGCATGCTAAGCCTGTCTGAAAAAAAAATATCTTTGAACCAATCCTGTGAGGTTGGTATCATTAACCCACTTTACAAATAGAAGGAAACTGGAGTAGAGATAAACCAAGTAACTTGCCCAAAGTTATTCAAAGGTAAGCCAAGACCTGAACTCAGTGAAAACCCATGCTGTTTTCACATGTCATTCTAGGCCTTTCCTCAAAGGGAAGAGGCCAGACAGCAAAGCTAACTTCAGAAAACATCATGGCAAAACAACAAAAACAAACAAACAAATGAACAAAGGGGAAAAAAAAGAAAGAAAACATCATGGCATAAAAACAGAGGAAAGCTCTGGAGGCCTGTCCAAGGAAGGAGTCAAATGATAATCCCTGCAGGCCATCGTTCCTGTGGGATGGGAAGCCTCAGATTATTCTCTGGGGCAGGGCTGATTCAGTGACTCTGTGGGACTGGGTCTTAGGTACCCCATCTGGGAGAATTGTGAAGAGGAAGAAGAAACAAATCCAGGATTACAGACCCCACAGTTCTCTCGCTGCCACTTCAAGTCACAAAATGACAGTGCTATTCACATCCTTGTGGAGGTGACCACAGCCCTGGGTGCTGTTCACAGCTACCTGGGCTCCCCTTTCTGGATCCACCAGGCTGGTAAGAACTTTCTTCCCCATTCTTCCCACATAGTTCCCACCCCCACTGAATCAGACCCTATACCCAGGATCCCCAACTCTGGCCCTTCTGACCCATGGCCCTGGTGGCATAATGCCTCATGCACAGAAAGGCTTAAGCTACTCCCTGCTGACATCCCTGTAGTGGGCCTCACCACCCCAAACTTGCACTGGAGGGAGATCTCCAGCGGGTATCTGGAATTGGAGTGGCAGCACCCATCATCCTGGGCAGCCCAAGAGACCTGCTATCAACTCCGATACACAGGAGAAGACCATCAGGACTGGAAGGTATGGTTAAGGAACAAATGCCCACAGACCTCACTACGCAGGAGATCCCTGGGGTTGACCATGCCTGTTAGCAGGAGTGAAAGTGTTTATGTATCTATGTCTCTGCTAGTACATCTATGTTTACTGCATTCAACTGGTATCTCTCTTGGGCATCTGATACTGCTGGCTACTCCTACTCAACATTTCTCTTCCGTTGGTCTTTGGGATATCAGTCTTCCCTGATTTTCTTCCTATCTCTCTGACTGAACTTTCTCACTCTCCTCTCCTGGCTCCTCCTGTCCAGCCTTCCATAAAATGCTGTGCTTTCTGGAGTCTCATCCTAGGCTCTTTTCTCCTCTGATAAAATAGATATGCTCTACCCAGGTGAGTGCTTCAACTCCATGGTTTCAATGGCCATACATGAAAAAATCACAATTTTACCATTCTAACTGCCATATGGAGAGGAATTTACAAACCACAGGCAGATTACCAAAACATCTGAAATCTGTTTCCTCATTGGTGAAATAGGGATGAAGCTATCTACCTTATGGAATTACAGTAAAAATTAAATACCGTATCTAAATACCTAGCATACTGCCTGGCATACGGAAGGTGCTCGATATACATTAAATATTAGTTTGTCTACTTTTATTCTCATTTGCCACACATATATAAAACTGTGTACAACATCTTATAAGATGGTTCTACCAAAACTTCCTCCCCTGGACATTTCAAACTCAGTGTATCCAAAATGGAACTCCTCTTCCTCCCGAAACTTTACTTTTTTATTGTGATATAACTTACATACAACAAAATATACAAATGTTCAACATAAAAGCTGTGCATGAGTGTACACCCATGTAACCGTAACCAGGATCAAGGTCCTCCGCCACCAAAGGTAATCACCATCCTGATATTACCACTGATTCATTTAGATTGTTGTTGAACCCTATAAAATGAAACCCTAAAGTTGAACTCTATAAAATGGAACCCTAAACTTACTTCTCTTCTGCTTCTTGTCTGGCACCACTACTTACCCAGTACCCAAGCCTGAAAGCACCCTTGACTCTTCCTCTGTTTCCCTTGTCCCTTCCCCCTGCTCATCAACAACCAAGCTGATGGCAATAAAGTACTAACAGTCCTCAAATTCCTACCAGGACTGCCTTAGCCTCCTCTGTGACCATCCAGCCTTCTCATCCATGTTTATAGCACCCTAAATCACTCTGTAGCACAAAACCCAGCATTAAATGCTTCTCTGGACTTCCATGGTGCCTTGCACTAATTAATTGTTGTGATTATCTACCTGTTTGGATGTCCCCCTCATTAGACAGGTAAGAGACCGTGTTTCATTGCTTTCTCCCCAGTGACTAACCCAATATTTGGAGTATCACACAGTTCATAAATGTTTGCTGTCTTCCTGCTTGTACACATGATGTTTGTACTCCAGCACCTAGCACAAATCTGGCATCCTCTGCGGCATGAGTATTATTTGTGGCATGGTCTGTGTGACTCCATCGCCCGCCCTGGGGTTGTGGTGAGAGCACCCGGCAGGGTGTGTGTGTACCGGGATCCCTGCCGAGGGTGTACCTGGGTGTTGGTGTTAGGATGCGTAGCTCTCTGAGGTGAGGACTGTGCTCAGGAGGTGGGCGCTGGCGCATTTCTCTCGGGCAGAGCGTGATCCCATTAGGGAGAGGCTCTCGGTTAGGGAGGCCTATCTTGTTTCTGCCGGGAAGCGTGTTTTCCGCAGGTGGTGCTCCCTGTGGGAAACTCCGACCGCGTGGGGATTCGGAGCTGCAGGACGTAGGTCAAACAGACGCCAGGCTGTCGAAGCCGCGACGCCTGGCCACCCGCACGCTTTTCTGCGTAGGTGGTGGAGCCGCCTCTCGGGGCCAGAGGAGGAACCCTGGAGCTGCGCCCGCGATCTCGCTACCGTTTACAGCTGCGCGCCAGGCTCAACGGCCCTACCTACCAAGGCCCCTGGAGCTCCTGGTCCGACTCAGCTAAGGTGGAGACCGCCTCCGAGACCGGTGAGGCAAGCCCTGGCCGCGCCAAAGCCGCACAGCGCCTGCGCCAGGGCCAGGAAGCCGGGTGCGGGAAGGGCGGGGCGGGGCGCGGAGAGGGGCGGGGCGCCGGGTGCGGCAGGACCCGGGCGCGGAGAGGGGCGGGGCCCTGGCAATGCGGGTCCACGGCTGCGCTGGTGCCCGCGGTGACCAGGGGTGGCGAGGGGCGGGGCCAGAACAGGGTCTGGCCGGCTGAGGGCGGGGCTCCGGCCAGGGTGGGCCGAGGTCTGACCCTTTTTGTCTCCTAGCCTGGATCTCCTTGGTGACCGCTCTGTTCCTTGTGCTGGGCCTCAGCGCCCTTCTGGGCCTGCTGCTGCTGAGGTGGAAGTTCCCTGCTCACTACAGGTCGGGTACCGCCCCTGCCAGGCAGGAGACGGGCGGTGGACGGGGCGGAGCCGAAGTCCTCTCAACAAGCATCCTCGGGTGGCTCTGTGACCCCAGCTCTCGGGCCACCGCCCGTGCGCACCTACGGCATTGCCGCTTCCTGCACGTCTCCTCTGGGACTCGCAACAGCTCCTTACACTCTAACACGCGCACTGTACCTCACACCTCACAGCCCTGCCTCCTGCTGCTCACTCGGCGACGAGGCCATCGTCCACCCTTCAGCCAAGACGCTCACCCAACCCCCATCCAATCGGCCATCAGGTCCCACCTCCTAAACCTCATCCAAGCAATGGCCCCCTTTCTCTAGCCTCACAGACATGACCTGTCTCACTGAAACAGAACCTCTTCCTCCTCCGATCTAGCCTCACACAGCCATCAGAATAATCTTTCTAAAATGCACACAGGAACCTGTCAATTCCCTCCTTACATCCCTTTAATAGCTCCCAGGACATAGTCCAGGCCCCCTATGATGACAAGCAAGGCTCTGCAAAATCTGCCCCTGCCCGCAAGTATTTCACCCGCTTCTACCCTGTGCATCGGCCTTTCCAAACTGTTGGTGGTTTTCTCCACAAGTCAGCTTTTACTTTTCCGTGCCTTTGCACATAATGTCCCCTCTGCCCGAAATATTCTCCCTGTCTGACTAAACCATTCATCTGTAAATAACTTTCTTCGCCAACTCTTAAGAAACCTTTCCTGACCCTCCCGTTTGGCCGCTGCTTTGTGCTCCAATACAGTACCAGTAGTGTTTTCCTGTGTTTATTTCTGTATATATGTTCAATCTTCCCTATTATACCTTACTTGGTCATCTTTAAATCCTTAGCACAGTGCCTGCCAAGAAGCAGGCCCTTAAATAAAAGTTATTAATGAGTGACTCATTTATGTGGGAAGACTAAGGCTGAGGAGAAATGCCATTGGAGGCTATAAACATGCAGGATAGAATGCATCCCACCTCCGTCCTTCATCTGCTGCTTCTTGAAAACTTAGCTCAGAAGTCAGCTCCTCCAGGCAGTGTCTTCTGATGGTCCTAGGCTGGTTCAAGTGCCCTTCTTGTGGGCTACCATCTCTCTTTGAACTTTTAATCTGCCCATATGTATGAGGAGACTGGAAGGTAGCCTCCATGCAGGTAGCCAGATGTAACAAAAAAGTTGGAGAAGTTGAAAGAAGCAGTCTGCTGAGCCAGACATACTCAGTTCCTTTTCCCCAATTTACCAGGTAAGTCACACGTCCTCCCCTGGAGAGATATGAGTGAGGTCAGTGAAGAGGCCTGAAATAGTTTGCTGATGTCCCTACATGCGGAAATATGAGGCTAAAGAATTGAGGTTTCCCCAACATTAAGTATGGATTCCCCTTAATCCATTCTTCTCCCAGAGAGACTACCCTCTCCAGTAACTTACTAATAAGCTCCACTGATTTTCTTTATTCAGCTAATTTAATGAACATCTACTATGGGCCAGACACTATTCTACACCCTAGAAATATAGGAGTGAACAAATAGACAAACTCTCTGTTCTCAGGGAGCATATGTTCTAGTGGTGTGAGACAGACAAAAAAAAAAATACATTTAACAGTATAATAAATGTACAAGTGCTATAAAGAAAAATGAAGTATAGCAGGAGATAGAGTGTGATGGGGAAGGGAAGTGGCACTACAGTAGTCCCCTCTTATCCACAGTTTCATTTTTTGTGGTTTCAGTTATACTTGGTCAATTAAGGTCCAAAAAAATTAAATGGAAAATTTCAGAAATAAATAATTCATGCATTTTAAATTGTGAGTAGCATGATGAAATCTCTTGCCATCCCACTGTGTCCCACCAGGGATGTAAGTCATCCCTTTGTCCAGCATCTCCCATGCTGTATACGCTCCCTGCCCCATAGTCACTTAGTGGCCATCTTGGTTATCAGATCGACTCACTGCGGTAGTGCAGTGCCTATGTTCAAGTAACCCCTATTTTAGTTAATAATGGTCCCAAAGTACAAGAGTACAAGAGTAGTGATGTTGTTGGCATATTGTTATAATTGTTCTATTTTATTATTAGTCATTGTTAGTATCTTACTGTGCCTTTTTTTTTTTTTTTTTTTTTTTTTTTTTTTT